GTAGTAGTAGTAGTAATAGAAGTAGTAGTAGTAATAGTAATAGTAGTAGTAGTAGTAGTAGTAGTAGAAGTATACTTGTAAGTAGTACTATATAGTCATTAATCTAAATACATACAAACATATAACTTTTCGTATTAGATGGAAATATATATAATCCTGGTTATATTAAAGAAAATAGTTGCTATATAGTGGACTGTACTGGTTATATATATATGCAGAAAACCTACATTGCATTGTGTGTTGACTTGTGGAGCAATATATGTATAGTAGTAATATAGTAGTAGTCATAGTAGTAAAGTATAGTATAGTAGTAGTTCTAGTTGTGGTATAGTGAAGTAGTAGTAGTAGTAGTAGTACTAGTAGTAGTAGTAGTAGTATCAGTAGTGAAGATATATAGTTGTATCAAGAGTATAGTAGTAGTAGTAGTAGTAGTAGTAATAATAATAGTAATTGTGATAGTAGTGGTAGTAGTATATAGCAGCAGTAGTTATAGTATATAGTTCAGTAGTAGTAGTAGTAGTAGTAGTAGTAGTAGTAGTAGTAGTAGTAGTAGTAGTAGTATAGTAGTAATAACAATAATACTAGTAGTGGTATAGTAAAGAAGAAGTAGGTGTATAGTAATAATAGTAGTAGTATAGGTGTAGCTGTAGTAGCAGTACTTTTGTAAAAGCGGAAGCAGAGGTAGTAGTAGTAGTAGTAGCAGTAGTGTTATACTATGTGCCGGAGTAGTACTGTACTACCACTATACTCCAAAAAACTACTATACTACTATAATATACTACTATATGGTGCTAGTACATATACCACTACTAATGACACTATATAACTATACTATGCACTCGTTTTCCATTACTACGACTACCAATACTACTGCTAGTATACTACTGCCACTATACTATACTATTCTACTTTTCTACTATACTACTATAATACTATACTACTGTACTACTATACTACTATACTACTACTACTACTACTTCTACTACTACTACTACTATTACTACTATTACTATACTATTATTACTACTTCTAGTACTTCTACTATTACTACTACTACTACTATTACTACTACTACTACTACTACTACTACTACTACTACTACTAC